GCATCACAGGCTGCAAATTATCAAATTTAAGCTTTGTTTTTCTTCCTCAATGAGTTTTGTTCATCTAGAATTTCTATGCCTTCATTGTGGGTTCTCCACTCCCGTGCTTTCAGGATATGTCCTCTTTCCCTACTGTGGCTTTAGGTAAGGTAGGATGGGTGTTATACGGGCACACTGTTCCCATAGTGTGTTGGGCCTGCCACATCACTACTGCTGACACTATAACTCTCACAGGGTTCACACTCATACCTGACACTATGTTCCACCTCTATCCAAACAAATGTGCTCTTGTATTCATTTTCTTGTGGGCATAGTTGTGGCAATAATGACTGTTACACAGACGTAGGGCCATCTGTTGTGTCCTGACTTCCTTGGATGACTCTTATAAATGACTAGGTGCAGTAATACCTGTCCTACGTTGGTGCTCCATGGCCGTGGATGGTGGTCCATGATAAGGATGGTGGTCCATGGGTAACCATGATGGTACTCCACCAGGTTATGCTATTATTCACCCCAAATTCGTTATGTAGGCAGTAGTGAAAAGGTAGAGTGATCGTAATTTAAAGCTGAGTGGTAGTATCTTCCTAAAGTTGGTGGTACTTGGCAAAGAACAATGGCACTTTCCTAGGAAAGGTGGTACCAATTAATAAATGGTGGTACCTGGCTAGGTGGTGGGGGAGAGAGAGACAAACAAACAAAAAGAGGAGAGTGGGGCGGGCAGGTGATGACTTGTGTGTTATTGCAGCCTCGGACAGCACGGAGAGCTCTGGGGGAAGGCTGCCAACCAAAAGTAGGTACCGATGGCCCGTGCCTGGCCACCTAGTACCGTGCGCCCTCCTTCCTCTACCCACCTTCCCCTAGCTTGATTCACCTTGTGCTCCCATCACTCCCACGTCTGCAGCTCACAGGAGGAACCACCGCAGACTCTGGCACCAAAGCGCAACTCTGCTTAGCGATGTTTACAAATGCAGAGGGAACTGCGCATAATTATTTTAACATGTTAAAATGTAATGGGTCTTTAAGGTTTTCACGAAATTCAGCTGTGGCGAAGTGGGCGGTGGGCGTAGCATGACTCAGAAGGCGTGGATGGTTGCAGCCCCCCGCCCCGCCCTGGTCATAAGTACACGCCAGTACCTACCTTGATGTAAGTATGAGCGGTGGGTGTGCGGGCGTGGTGGTGAAGGAGGATGAAGGGGGCGAGCGGTGCGTGGGCGGCCAGGGCAGTACGTGTTGTGATGGTGCTTGTCGAGTGGTTGGTGAGTGTGAGTTGCTGATGCTGATGCTGTTGCTGCTGCTGGTGTCAGTGTGCCTCTAGTACCTCGCCGCTACGCTAACATCATACCCCTGGTGCCCGTCACCATCCCTTGTTATGCCTTTCCCCCCCTCCCACCCCTATCCTTCCCCCACTGTATGTGTTGGCAGGACCGCAAACACCTCTCTCCATCATTGTCAAGGACCACAGCCAGACTGGGGACTGGAGGTCCCAGCAGCTATCGGACTCCTGGGCTTCGTCAGTCTCTACTGGCTCACACAAGAAGGTCGCCTTTTCACGACATACTAACAGGAATTTATTTCCAAGCAATTGCAATTGTTCTTTATAGTCAATTTAACAACAAAGAAAAAAAGGATCTCAAGTTTGTTGATGTGTGGTGATTAGTCAGACTGATGGAGTGAAGAGTTTGCACTGTAAGACTAAATTTCCAAAAATCGGCGATGATTAACTCTGTATTGCCCACACTGGATGTTGTATGGTGTCTTTTTTTACTATCTAAATCAACCATCATTATTGTCTTCCCTGAAGGGTGTTAACTGGACCCGCGGCTGCCTGTTGTACATAGTGCGGTGTATATGTGAATAGTGTGGGAGTAGCTAGTGCTGGTAGACGCCTGGTGTAGTGCCTAGTGCTCAGTACCACACTCCTGCATCATCCTCTCCCGCTCACACACAGTTGGATCCTCAGAGCCACCCCACCCACCTGTTGTATCCTCCCGCTGCGTCCCTCCCTGGCAGAGCTCACCCACCTTCCTGCGTCCCTCCCTGGCAGAGCTCACCCACCTTCCTGCGTCCCTCCCTGGCAGAGCTCACCCACCTTCCTGCAGTTCAGACTTTATTTTTACTTTGTTGAGAATGTCATGATATTGGCATCCCTTTTTTATTTTTGCTATGTGCTCTGGTATTGTTTTGATTTAAAGGGGCAATTAATTTTCCCCTCAGAAATATCATATAAACTTTGATAGTATGAATAATCATCTTATTGCATATATATATATATATTATATATATATATATATATATATATATATATATATATATATATATATATATATATATACTGATAATTGATAATTGTACAATAGCGTGAAAATATATGACAAGAGAGCACTATTAATATATACATGGAATCCCTATCATTACATCATATTGCATGACCTTGTCAGCTGGAACCATAAAAATAAGTCAGGTTTAACCATGAAGTAGAATTACCTGACCTCTATTGACCTGACCATGGGAGACGATTCCGTGCAGTTTGAAGCATTTTCTGATGTACCGTATTTTCCGGCATATAAGACGCATGACCGAATTATCATAACGTTAAATCAGTAAACATATTCAAAGGGTTAATTACCGTCTTACTTTATGCTCAAGTGTAACACAAAGCCTACCCTTGACCCTGACCTTGGGCATATAAGGCGCAGGCTGATTTTCCAAGCCTTTTTTGGGAGGAAAAGGAGCGCCTTATATGCCGGAAAACACGTTGTTTCAACTTTTTAGCTAAATTATGGCTATAATTCATTGTAAAAAGTGTTATGGTTAACTTTCTGAATTAAGATAATGCGATGTGGATTAATTTTTTCCATAAAATGCAACTGTAGCAGCAGTTGTCATTAAAAGTTTGATACTGACCTTAACTGACCTGACCCCTGGAGGCTAACACCTGACCTTGACTGACCCGACCCCTAGAGGCTAACACCTGACCTTGACTGACCCGACCCCTAGAGGCTAACACCTGACCTTGACTGACCCGACCCCTAGAGGCTAACACCTGACCTTGACTCACCTGACCCCTAGAGGCTAACACCTGACCTTGACTCACCTGACCCCTGGAGGTTAACACCTGACCTTGACTCACCTGACCCCTGGAGACTAACACCTGACCTTGGCTGACCTGACCCCTGGAGGTTAACACCTGACCTTGACTCACCTGACCCCTGGAGGTTAACACCTGACCTTGACTCACCTGACCCCTGGAGGCTAACACTTGACCTTGACTGACCTGGCCCCTGGAGGTTAACACCTGACCTTGACTGACCTGACCCCTGGAGGCTAACACCTGACCTTGACTCACCTGACCCCTGGAGGCTAGCACCTGACCTTGACTGATCTGACCCCTGGAGACTAACACTTGACCTTGACTTACCTGACCCTGGAGACTAACACTTGACCTTAACTCACCTGACCTCGGCAGACCTGACCCTGTTAGACTAACACTTGACCTCGACTGACCTGACTCTGGAGACTAACACCTGACCTCAACTCACCTGACCCTTGAGACTAACACATGACCTCGACTGACCTGACTCTGGAGACTAACACTTAACCTCGACTGACCTGACTCTGGGGAATTTGAGGCCCATTATTCTTCGTCCTTCAAATTTTACTGCCCAGCCATTTGGAAATGTACCTTGTTGAAAATAACCGTGCCCTTGCCATAGGGCTGCCTCCGCTACAGGGCTGTAAACAGTACTATACATAACAGGAATGCTCAGCGTGCCCCTGCCATAGTGCTATAAACGGTACATTACTTGTACAAACTCCAATACTCCGGGAGTCCTTGTCGGGTCACCACATGGAGAAGACCCGGGCCAGGACCCGTCCTGGCAAACCTACATGAACATATTGAAATTAAATTGTCCATCAGATTAAGTTCCTACTGAGGACTTAATTATTAACCTCAGTGCCTCAGATTTGACGACCAGTTTGCCGCTATCAGTATCAACACAATGGTCATAATTACGAATATAACAGAAGATACTATTACTGTTTATCTTCACCGTTCTAACGTTTCGTGTTCGTTCACAAACTGCTTCCAACATCTTCCTCTTTCTCCCTCGTATACTCTTTTTTGCTACAGTGGTCGGGGTTATCCACTCATGGTCAGGTAATATCTCCTGGTGGTGAAGACTGACACACCACTTGCATATTCCGGCTGAAGACGCCATGTGATATAGAGTAGTAAAACCCTAGTTCCCTGTTTATGTTAAATAGTGATTTTCTGTCAAACACACACACACACACACACACACACATCATATATAATATATATATATATATATATATATATATATATATATATATATATATATATATATATATATATATATATATATATATATATATATATATATATATCGTGCCGAATAGGTAGAATTGATCAATTAGCAAGAACTCATTTAAAATTAAGTTCTTTCTAAAATTTTCTCTTATATATTTCATTGTTTTTGTTTATTATTAAATTACTGTAAACTTATCTAAAATATATTTAGTTCGATTAGGCTAAATTAAATTGCGCTTGTTATAATAAGGTTAGGTAAGATTTCTAAGGTTTTTTTGGTACAAAAATATTATTTTTTACTCTAACGTAAATGGAAAATGTGTATCTTTAAACGTATAAATGAACATTTTTGAAAAGACCTAATTTTCAATGATTCTTGCTAATTAACCAATTTTACCTTTCGGCCGACTATATATATATATATATATATATATATATATATAATATATATATATATATAATGATTTATATATATAATATATATATAATTATATATATATATATATATATAATATATAATATTATATATATATATGTTACGTAAGTGAGAGTGTGAGTCTATTGTATTTAATATATGAACGTGGCTCTATTTCATGATCTGCCTACATGACCTGATCTCTGGGTCTGTCATGGGCATCTCACTACTGTCGTGTTCTCTACTCTCAAGCTGGCCTCAGCAAGTTCGCCAAGCTGGCTCGCTCAGTGACGCGAAGCAGGTCCGTGCTGGTCACTCAGTTCTCCTCCCACCTCCCTGTCATGAAGGACGTGGCCAAGCAATCCAATATCACCCATGTGAGTATGCCACTTTCCCTCGTGTGTGTATGTCGCTTCCCCTCAGGTGAGTATTATGTCACTTTCATTTCCTCTGACAGACTTCTCACGTACACAACTTGTCCTCTTAAAATTGTGCCTCTGTGTTGTTGTGACTGTCATCCACTGGATGGGTGTGAGTGTATAATAGTGATGTTGAACTAGTCCATTAACACTTGGGATTCCACAGTATTCGCTTTCGTCAGTGTTGTATGGTTACCCGGCTGTCTTTCCTGCCAGGTTACCCGGCTGTCATTACTGCCAGGTTACCCGGCTGTCATTACTGCCAGGTTACCCGGCTGTCTTTACTGCCAGGTTACCCGGCTGTCATTACTGCCAGGTTACCCGGCTGTCTTTCCTGCCAGGTTACCCGGCTGTCTTTACTGCCAGGTTACCCGGCTGTCTTTACTGCCAGGTTACCCGGCTGTCATTACTGCCAGGTTACCCGGCTGCCATTACTGCCAGGTTACCCGGCTGTCATTACTGCCAGGTTACCCAACTGTCATTACTGCTAGGTTACCCGGCTGTCATTACTGCAGTTACCCGCTGTCTTTCTGCCAAGTTACCCGCTGTCTTACTGCCAGGTTACCCAACTGTCATTACTGCTAGGTTACCCGGCTGTCATTACTGCCAGGTTACCCGGCTGTCTTTACGCCAGGTTACCCGCTGTCATTACTGCCATGTTACCCAGGCTGTCATTACTGCCAGGTTACCCGGCTGTCATTACTGCCAGGTTACCCGGCTGTCTTTCCTGCCAAGTTACCCGGCTGTCTTACTGCCAGGTTACCCAACTGTCATTACTGCTAGGTTACCCGGCTGTCATTACTGCCAGGTTACCCGGCTGTCTTTACTGCCAGGTTACCCGGCTGTCATTACTGCCATGTTACCCGGCTGTCATTACTGCCAGGTTACCCGGCTGTCATTACTGCCAGGTTACCCGGCTGTCATTACCGCCAGGTTACCCGGCTGACTTTCCTGCCAGGTTACCCGGCTGTCTTTACTGCCAGGTTACCCGGCTGTCTTTACTGCCAGGTTACCCGGCTGTCATTACTGCCAGGTTACCCGGCTGTCATTACTGCCAGGTTACCCGGCTGTCTTTACTGCCAGGTTACCCGGCTGTCTTTACTGCCAGGTTACCCGGCTGTCTTTCCTGCCAGGTTACCCGGCTGTCATTACTGCCAGGTTACCCAACTGTCATTACTGCTAGGTTACCCGGCTGTCATTACTGCCAGGTTACCCGCTGTCTTACTGCCAGGTTACCCGGCTGTCATTACTGCCATGTTACCCGGCTGCCATTACTGCCAGGTTACCCGGCTGTCATTACTGCCAGGTTACCCGGCTGTCAATACCGCCAGGTTACCCGGCTGACTTTCCTGCCAGGTTACCCGGCTGTCTTTACTGCCAGGTTACCCGGCTGTCTTTACTGCCAGGTTACCCGGCTGTCATTACTGCCAGGTTACCCGGCTGCCATTACTGCCAGGTTACCCGGCTGTCATTACTGCCAGGTTACCCGGCTGTCTTTACTGCCAGGTTACCCGGCTGTCTTTACTGCCAGGTTACCCGGCTGTCTTTCCTGCCAGGTTACCCGGCTGTCATTACTGCCAGGTTACCCAACTGTCATTACTGCTAGGTTACCCGGCTGTCATTACTGCCAGGTTACCCGGCTGTCTTTACTGCCAGGTTACCCGGCTGTCATTACTGCCAGGTTACCCGCTGTCTTTCCTACCAGGTTACCCGGCTGTCTTTACTGCCAGGTTACCCGGCTGTCTTTACTGCCAGGTTACCCGGCTGTCATTACTGCCAGGTTACCCGGCTGCCATTACTGCCAGGTTACCCGGCTGTCATTACTGCCAGATTACCCGGCTCGTCTTTACTGCCAGGTTACCCGGCTGTCTTTACTGCCAGGTTACCCGGCTGTCTTTCCTGCCAGGTTACCCGGCTGTCATTACTGTCAGGTTACCCAACTGTCATTACTGCCAGGTTACCCAACTGTCATTACTGCCAGGTTACCCGGTTGTCTTTACTGCCAGGTTACCCGGCTGTCATTACTGCCAGGTTACCCGGCTGTCTTTACTGTCAGGTTACTAGGCTGTCTTTCCTGCCAGGTTACCCGGCTGTCATTACTGCCAGGTTACTCAACTGTCATTACTGCCAGGTTACTCAACTGTCTTTACTTCCAGGTTACTCAACTGTCATTACTGTCAGGTTACTCAACTGTCATTACTGTCAGGTTACTCAACTGTCATTACTGCCAGGTTACCCAACTGTCATTACTGCCAGGTTACCCAACTGTCATTACTGTCAGGTTACTCAACTGTCATTACTGCCAGGTTACCCAACTGTCATTACTGTCAGGTTACTCAACTGTCATTACTGTCAGGTTACTCAACTGTCATTACTGCCAGGTTACTCAACTGTCATTACTGTCAGGTTACTCAACTGTCATTACTGTCAGGTTACTCAACTGTCATTACTGTCAGGTTACTCAACTGTCATTACTGTCAGGTTACTCAACTGTCATTACTGCCAGGTTACTCAACTGTCATTACTGTCAGGTTATCAACTGTCATTACTGCCAGGTTACCACTGTCATTACTGTCAGGTTACTCAACTGTCATTACTGTCAGGTTACCCAACTGTCATTACTGCCAGGTTACCCAACTGTCATTACTGTCAGGTTACTCAACTGTCATTACTGTCAGGTTACTCAACTGTCATTACTGTCAGGTTACTCAACTGTCATTACTGCCAGGTTACTCAACTGTCATTACTGTCATGATACTCAACTGTCATTACTGTCAGGTTACCCAACTGTCATTACTGCCAGGTTACCCAACTGTCATTACCGCCAGGTTACTCAACTGTCATTACTGCCAGGTTACCCAACTGTCATTACCGCCAGGTTACTCAACTGTCATTACTGCCAGGTTACCCAACTGTCATTACTGCCAGGTTACCCAACTGTCATTACTGCCAGGTTACCCAACTGTCATTACCGCCAGGTTACCCAACTGTCATTACCGCCAGGTTACTCAACTGTCATTACTGCCAGGTTACCCAACTGTCATTACCGCCAGGTTACTCAACTGTCATTACTGCCAGGTTACCCAACTGTCATTACCGCCAGGTTACTTCCCCAAACTAAATACGTATATGTTTTGTTATTTCGTTAATTTTCTTATCTAATGATTTTATTTGATTCAGATTAACGTAACGTAATTAAGCGTAAACAGAAAAAGAATTAACAGTGGCCGGTGAACAAGTGATGTCAATGTCTCTGTAATGTGTTGGAAGTGAACGTTTTAGCTATAAGTACCAGTCAAATATACCACTTCCTCTCTACAAGTTACCAGTGAGAAGTGACCCAGATCTAAATAAGCTATAGACTTTGAATGAGAATTCTAGGTAATTTTTAAATTAAGTTGTTCAGGCACATGAGTGGATGTGGCTTGGACCTGCTTAGCATGGGACACTAAGCCTGCCGTCGTCCTCCTTTCTTACGTGGTTTAGAATCCCAGGATATTTTATCCTCGTTTCAAATCCAGTGTTACTGGAGTAAGACGTTGCCTGCTCTCTCTCCTTTCCGTCTCATGAACACGTAAGATGACGGGTAACTCTTGCAAAACGTCTACTTGCGTTCACTATATACATTTCTTTCCTGTCCGATTCTTAACAGTTTTTAGTCCTGTAATATTTTCCTTCCGGCCTAGGAGGCCTGGTCTCAGACTAGGCCGGGAGGAAGATAATCCCCAGAACTGCTAACAGCTGCCGTGTGCCAGCAGTTTAATTCTCTCAATATGACTCACGAAATCGTAATGATATAATTGCAAACAAATCATACCACGTGTGGGGTTTGAACCCGCGGTCAGAGAGTCTCAAAACTCGGTCTGGAGTTTTGAGAGTCTCTGACCGCGGGTTTAAAGCCCACCCGTGGTATGGTTTAATTCGCTCAAAACTAATTTTCTCTCTCTCTCTCTCTCTCTCTCTCTCTCTCTCTCTCTCTCTCTCTCTCTCTCTCTCTCTCTCTCTCTCTCTCTCTCTCTCTCTCTCTCCTCTCTCTTCCTCTCTCTCTCTCTCTCCTCTCTCTCTCTCTAAGTTGAACGTTCTTCTAAAATAACAGGTCAACTAGGCGGGTCAAGGCGCCTCTCACACTCCTCTGCCTTGATAAAGCTACAGCTTGAGCGAAACGTAGTCCCACTAAAAGTTTGCTCTCCCTGGTTTCTCATGTCAATAACACCTTTTTGTGACACCCCTTTGTGACACCTCTTTGTGACACCCCTTCGTGACACCCCTTTGTGGCACCTGCGATCCATTTTTCTTTACACAGGGTTATACAAGGTTATGGTAAGGGTTCCTAACGTTATTTTTATTGTTATTGTTATGACTGGGTAATGGTATCTGACAGGGCAAAGGTTTTTGACAGGGCCAGGGCTTCTGACAGGGTAAGGACTTCTGACAGGGCTAGGGTTACTGACAGGGAAACGTTTTCTGACTGGAGACGGTAGGAAAGAGAACAATTGTGCCCCATGACGGGACGCGGTTTTAAATAAAATACGTAGTGTATAAGTTCATAAGGGAGACTAATACAAAATATAAAATATTGTAAAGGAGACTAATACAAAATATAAAAGATTGTAAGGGAGACTAATACATAAGAACATAAGAAAGAAGGAACACTGCAACAGGCCTACTGGCCCATGAGAAGTAGGTCCATGCCACCCCCGGCCTAGAACAATGACCATCTAGTCAGGTCACTTCCACTGAAGGAAGGAGCACGGCACCAGACCTGGTAGCCCAAGCTAGTCAGGTCCAACTCACACCCACCCACACCATCTCATGTATTTATCCAACCTATTTTTAAAACTACACAACGTCTTAGCTTCTATGACGGTACTCGGGAGTTTGTTCCACTCATCCACAACTGAACTTTTCCAACTTGAAACCATTGCTGCGAGTCCTGTCTTGGCTGGATATTTTCAGCACGCTATTTACATCGCCTTTATTTATTCCTGTTTTCCATTTATACACCTCGATCATATCCCCCCTAATTCTACGCCTTTCTAGAGAGTGCAGATTCAGGGCCCTCAGTCTATCCTCATAGGGAAGATTTCTGATACATGGGATCCTCTTTGGCATCCTCCTCTGTACGTTTTCCAGTGTGTTTTTATCCATTCTGTAATACGGTGACCAGAACTGAGCAGCATAATCTAAATGAGGCCTAACCAAGGATATATAGAATTGAAGAACAACCTGAGGACTTCTATTATTTATACTTCTTGATACGAAGCCAAGGATTCTGTTAGCTTTGTTGCGAACACTTAAGCACTGTTGTCTTGGTTTTATATTACTGATACCCAGAACTCTTAAATCCTTTTCGCAATCAGTAGTATTAAGATCTACACTATTCAATTTATAAGTGGTATGGCTATTGTCCTGTCCAACATTTAGAACTTTACAGTTGTCTATATTAAACTGCATCTGCCACTTCTCCGACCATTGCATCAGTCTATTCAAATCATCCTGGAATGCACTAATGTCCTCAATAGAATGAATTGGACGGCCTATTTTGGTGTCATCAGCAAATTTGCTTATGTCGCTATTTATTCCCTCATCTATATCGTTTATGTAAATTGTGAACAATAAGGGGCCCAACACTGACCCCTGTGTAACACCGCTCGTGACGTGCCCCCACTCTGATTTCTCCCCATTTATGCAAACTCTTTGCTGCCTATTTGTCAGCCATACCTCTACCCAGGAAAAAGTTTCTCCTCCTATTCCGTGTGCCTTAAGTTTCCTCAAAAGTCTCTGATGTGGAACTCTATCGAAATCCTTACTGAAGTCCATATACACAATATCATATTCGTTACCATGATATACCTCCTCAAACACCTTAGCAAAGAAAGTTAGGAAATTCGTAAGACAGGAACGCCCCTTAGTAAAACCGTGTTGAGATTCATTTATCAATTTATGCCTATCAAGATGGCTACGAATTGCCTCGGCAATTATTGATTCCATAAATTTTCCCACTGTGGAGGTAAGGCTTATTGGTCTATAGTTCGAAGCCAAGGACCTGTCACCTGCCTTGTAAATAGGTATTACATTTGTCATTTTCCATTTATCAGGCACTATGCCAGTTTGTTGTGATATGTTGAAAAGATTAGCCAAAGGTTTGCAAAGTTCCTCTTTACATTCCTTTAAAACCCTTGCAAACAGTTCATCAGGGCCTGGGGATTTGTTAGGTTTTAATTTCTCTATTTGTCTGAAGACCATGTCACTAGTTATTGCAATCGTGTATAGTTTATTATCGTCCTGTTCTACATAATTTATTATTTCTGGAATTTCGCTAGTATCTTCCAGAGTAAAAACTGAGAGGAAGTAAGAATTGAAAATTTCACACATATCCCTACCGCTGTCAGTGATCTGACCTGAGCTACTCTTAAATGGGCCAGTCTTGTCCCTAATATTACTTCTGTATACCTGAAAGAACCCTTTTGGGTTAGTCTTCGAATCCCTTGCGACCTTAGCCTCATAATCCCTTTTTGATTTTCTTATTCCTGTTTTTATCTCTCTCTTTAACTGAATGTATTGATTTCTTAACTGTCCATCCCCTCTTTTGATACGCCTAAAAATGCCTCTCTTTTGACCAATCAGATGTTTTAATCTACTGTTCATCCATTTTGGGATCATTTTTGTTAGATCTAATTTCCCTACTCGGAACAAAAGTTGTCTGGGCAGCTAGAACTATGCTCTGAAAAACGTCATATTGGCAACCAAGGTCACCTACCTGACCCATAGTCAGGACATCCCAATTTAGCCCACCCAGGTAATTTTTCACTCCCATGAAGTCGGCCAAGCTAAAATCTGGGACAGAGATTTGCTGCTGCTCCTGATCACTTTCCCCAAGCTCATCATTAACTTCAAGATTATTTATTAATGAATCTTTGTTGGCAAGAACCAAGTCAAGCAGATTGTTTCCTCGAGTTGGTTCTGTCACAAACTGTTTTAAAAAGTCATCTTGAACTGTATCAAGAAAGTCACTAAACTAAAGATTTCGTGACAAATTGTTATACTCAATTTGTCTAAAGTTAAAATCCCCCATTAACACAACGTTTTCATATCTAGACGCCTTATGAATTTCGTCCCACAGCAGCTTACTGCACTCCCTATCAAGGTTTGGGGGCCTAGATATCACACCCAAAATTAATTTTTCATTCCCCTCGAGAAACCGTAGCCAAACGGATTCTGTGTCTGATGTTTCTATTCTTATATCATGTCTAACACAACAAGTTAAATTATCTCTGACATACATCGCCACTCCACCACCCTTCCTGTTGACCCTATCAGTGTGGAATAGTTTATAACCTTTTATGCTGCATTCAGAAGGCATTTCTCTATCCTTCAAGTTGAACCAGGTCTCAGTTACAGCAATAATATCTATATTACCTGCACTTGCGAGTAATCTTAGCTCATCTATCTTATTTCTTAGACTCCTACTATTTGTAGTAAACCTTAAGGGAGCTAGCCACTCGTTGCCCTCTACTATCTCTCTTTGTTGATCAGTTGCTTTTCCTTGATTAGGAACTTTATTTTGAATATTGTCTTTTAAAGATATCCCTGAGGAATCCTGGTAATATCTCCTGTTTCCAGCGATAATCCTGCAACCTGACTGTTTCCCACAAATACCCATACCTCTATAATGTATCAGTTTAAAGTCTTAGATAAGTCATCAATATCCCCCTCTATCGAATTAGCTAATGCAACCACTCCAGCCCCAGAGTGATGAACCCCATCCATTGCATACATATCATGTTTGCCATAGAATTTATCCCAGTTATCAATGAATGGGATTGCAAGTTTCTTGCAGTACCTGTCTAGCCAGCAATTTATACCAATTGCCCTAGATATCCATTCACTGACCACTCCCCTTCTAGGCAAGATGCTACACATGATAGGGATCCCTCCCTTAGACCTGACTAGTACGTCTATGGCTGACCTGTACTTATCCAGTAGCTCCTGTCTCCTGCCCTTCCCAATGTCATTTCCACCAGCACTAAGACAGATAATGGGGCTTGTTCCCATTACCTGCCATAATACTATCCAACTTGCTGACTATGTCACCAACACCAACTCCTGGGAGGCACACCCTCTGTCTGACTTTTCTATCTCTGTTACAAAAAGCACCGTCCTTATATCTTACCTGAGAGTCTCCCACAATCAGAATATTCTTACCTTGATTAGCAGGGGAGTCAGAAGTACCTTTAACCTCACTAACAACTGAAGTACACTTGTCTTGGAGAACAGAGAATCGATTTCCTACCTTCACATCTTCTTTATTAACCCTCTTTACCTTCCTTATTCCTGAACTGTGAACCACTTGCCACTTAAAGCGGCTGTCACTCTCACCGGTGGTAAGCATTTTCTCCTTACCGGCACCAACTATACTCACACTCACTCCAAAACACATCTAGGTGAAACTTCAGCTTTCTAAAACAAAATACATGTATAAATGATTGTAAGGGAAACTTATACAAAACATAAAAGATTGTAAGGGAGACTAATACAAAATATAAAAGTTTACTTGGGGAAAGGTTTATATGGGTATAAAAATCACATCATAAGAGTTTACTGGGGAGACTAATAAAAAGATACATATCATAAGAGTTTAAAGGGAAGACTAATCTATTACGCCTCAACAGATGATGAGTCTCAACAGCGATGTTATGCCCCAGTACCGTCAAGAAGCTCCCAAGACACCTCCGCACATCCTCCTCCACTACTGTGCCTTCAAGGTGGGTCCTTCTCCATTATTCTGCCTTCAAGGTGGGTTCTTCTCCATTATTCTGCCTTCAAGGTGGGTCCTTCTCCATTATTCTGCCTTCAAGGTGGGTTCTTCTCCATTATTCTGCCTTCAAGGTGGGTCCTTCTCCATTATTCTGCCTTCAAGGTGGGTTCTTCTCCATTATTCTGCCTTCAAGGTGGGTCCTTCTCTATTATTCTGCCTTCAAGGTGGGTCCTTCTCCATTATTCTGCCTTCAAGGTGGGTTCTTCTCCATTATTCTGCCTTCAAGGTGGGTCCTTCTCCATTATTCTGCCTTCAAGGTGGGTCCTTCTCCATTATTCTGCCTTCAAGGTGGGTCCTTCTCCATTATTCTGCCTTCAAGGTGGGTCCTTCTCCATTATTCTGCCTTCAAGGTGGGTTCTTCTCCATTATTCTGCCTTCAAGGTGGGTTCTCCTCCATTACTCTGTCTTCAAGGTGGGTCCTCCTCCACTACTGTGCCTTCAAGGTGGGTCCTCCTCCACTACTGTGCCTTCAAGGTGGGTCCTCCTCCACTACTGTGCCTTCAAGGTGGGTCCTCCTCCACTACTGTGCCTTCAAGGTGGGTCCTTCTCCATTACTCTGTCTTCAAGGTGGGTCCTTCTCCATTACTCTGTCTTCAAGGTGGGTCCTCCTCCACTACTGTGCCTTCAAGGTGGGTCCTCCTCCACTAATGTGTCTTCAAGGTGGGTCCTCCTCCACTACTGTGTCTTCAAGGTGGATCCTTCTCCATTACTCTGCCTTCAAGGTGGGTCCTCCTCCACTAATGTGTCTTCAAGGTGGGTCCTCCTCCACTACTGTGCCTTCAAGGTGGATCCTTCTCCATTACTGTGCCTTCAAGGTGGGTCCTCCTCCACTACTGTGCCTTCACGGTGGGTCCTCCTCCACTACTGTGACTTCAAGGTATTTCCTCCACAGGCCTTCCACTACTGTGCCTTGAAGGAAGGCCCTCCAATACTTTGCCTTAAAGGTAGGTCCTCCCATACTGTGCCTTGAGGGTAGGTCCTCCACTACTGTGCCTTGAAGGTAGGTCCTCCAATATTGTGCCTTCAAGGTAAGCCCTCCACAACTGTGCCTTGAAGATTGGTCCTTCACTGTTTCTTCATGGAAGATACTTTGTCTACTTGAGTCTAGGGAAGTTGTCCTGTCCTGGTAAATACATGACGTAGAGCGGTCACGCCTTCAACAACGGGTCCAGATAACAACTCTCCAGTGGCAGGTTATGAAGTGTGAAAGACAGGTATTATGTCATTACCACAAATAATAATTTACCGATTTGATAATGGTTATAATCATGACCATAATTTTTAAAGGGATGGAGGGATAAACCAGCGGAAGGCCTCGGTCAGATGACCAAAAGTTCCAGCTGAGTGTAATCATGTGACTAAGACCCGCGTCAGGAGACACTTGTCCTATTTCCTGGTGAATTTTACTTCACCTAACTGCTTTGATCTATCTTGATAAATTCATTGTTTTAATTTAAGTGTCCGGTTTGCATGTATGTTGGCAGTCATAGGGAGACGCAGCATATAAGGCGCGCCTTTTTTTCACAAAAAAGAGTTTGGAGAATCACCCGTGCCTTTTTTGTTCAAGGTCAGTCATGGGTAGGCTTTGTGTTAGGTTTTAGCGCAAATGGTAATTAAGCCTTGAATATGATTGCTAATTTAACGTTATGATGAGTCTGTTGTGCGCCTTATATGCTGGAAAATAGATTATTCATCGTTCGAGCAGGGCGAAGAAAGTCCCTGTTGGTCGGTTCTTCTTACGTATTCAATTACGAAGTACCCCGTTCCCCGCGCGTATGATGCTAACTCACTGTACCGTAAGCAGCGTGTTACCGCTTCTTCTGCTTGCGGAACCTACGTTGCACCAGTATTACGTCTATAAGACCACTGAAGAGTTGCAAGGTGACAGCCAGGTAGAGTGAGCCATCTGGTGGTAGCCAGACAACCCCGTGACAAGCAGTACTCACCCAGGAAGTACCCGTGTAGCGACACTTTCCCTCGGGTACCTGTGTGACACACCTGTGACAACTACACAATTAAAGTACTAAGTCTGTAATACATATGATCTGACAGACGACCCACTAGTGCAGAGTATTGTCAGGCCAACTTCACATTAAAAGTACAATGAACTTGAAGGTTGCAGTGCACATTACAACCTCACAGGCAGTGATCATCCAACTCCAAATAAACCATAACTGTCTCCAGTTGTACATAGGTAGGTAGGTACATCACGGTCGAACAAAGCAAGCGAGTTACAGGTAATCTTTGTACTTAATAAATTACGAAGCTGCGGCATTCTAAGAAGCAGATCGGGTTATAGGCTGTTAAACAAGCACCTATTGAGGCCGCAATGTATGAACTTACTCCTAAAGAACATTATTTCAGGACATCTATAATCATATAATGAAATTCACCTACTGGACTGCGGTCAGCGATGGTGTTGAAGGCAGCCATGTCCAGAGGTCGTGTTGAAGGCAGCCATGGTCAGAGGTCATGTTGAAGGCAGCCATGGCCAGAGGTCGTATTGAAGGCAGCCATGACCAGAGGCCGTGTTGCAGGCAGCCATGACCAGATGTCGTGCTGCAGGCAGCCATGACCAGAGGTCGTGTTGAAGGCAGCCATGACCAGAGGTCGTGTTGAAGGCAGCAATGACCAGAGGTCGTGTTGAAGGCAGCCATGACCAGAGATCGTGTTGAAGGCAGCCATGACCAGAGGTCGTGTTGCAGGCAGCCATGACCAGAGGTTGTGTTGAAGGCAGCCATGACCAGAGGCCGTGTTCCAGGCAGCCATGACCAGAGGTCGTGTTGAAGGCAGCCATGACCAGAGGTCGTGTTGAAGGCAGCCATGACCAGAGGTCGTGTTGAAGGCAGCCATGACCAGAGGCCGCCACCATCCCGGAATACTATTAAGGGATAAGCAACTTAATTTGTTCATCTCTAAGATAGTAGTTGTTGACTGTCTTAAATTAGCTCCCACTGAAGGAACTTACTGACCATGCTTACGTATATCTCGCCGTATTTTACTGTACGAGGCTTCGACTGTCTAGTAATCTCAGGATAAAATAAACAATTAATTGGTATCGTTCCAGTGGGAAGAATTTAATTGATCTACTTAACAATTACAATTTCAGTGAGTAGATAAATATGAAAAAAATCATTCTTAATAGGTCATCATAGTCAATAACATATATATATATATTTACTCAAGTTACTTATGAATGTTTGATCCCGTGTAACTGGTAAAGTTATCATGTTAGTGTGAACATTATTTTATTGTATTAAAAACAAGTATGAACCAAGGAGCGCTTACCGAAGACGAGAATAAGAACATAAGAAAGAAGGAACACTGCAGCAGGCCTACTGACTCATGCGAGGCAGGGCCAAGTCTCCTACCTGCCTTAAGCCAATGCCCTAACCTAGTCAGGTCACATTCACTTAAGGAAGGTGCACGACATCTGACCTAGTAGCAGAAGCTAGTCAGGTCCAACTCACACCCACTCATATATTTATCTAACCTAGTTTTAAAACTACACAACGTTTTAGCCTCTATAACTGTACTCGGGAGTTTGTTCCACTCATCCACAACTCTATTACCAAACCAGTGCTTTCCTATATCCTTCCTGAATTTGAATTTTTCCCACTTAAATCCATTGCCACGAGTCCTTTCTAGGCTAGATATTTTTAGCACGCTATTTACATCCCCTTTATTTATGCCTGCTTTCCATTTATACTCCTCACTCATATCCTCCCTAATTCTACGACTTTTTATTGAGTGCAGATTCAGGGCCCTCAGTCTATCATCACAGTGAAGATTTCTGAATGGCGCAGGCAGATGTGTTTGGAGACAACGAGAGAACTGATGAAAAGATTATTGCACCTTTTTAGTCTCTTATTCAGGACTGAAGCTAAAGTTTTTCAGTAAAGTTCTCATCAGCAGTCTGTACAAGCCTAATAAAGGCCTCATTATGAAGCAAAAATATATAATAATCCTTTTGCCTTCTGTTTTATTGTCTTCATGTGAGTTTGCATCTTCCATTAACCTGTGGTACTGTACTTGTGTCTAGAGGATAATCTTATGTTTACCGAGAATAGTTGGTTTAGTGTTACTGTTGTTTTCAGGCTATCTGGGACTGGGTGATCCTCTGCCTCACCTTCTACACCGCCATCATGGTGCCCTACAACGTGGCCTTCAAGTACAAGACCTCGGAGGACGTGTCTCTACTGGTGGTGGACTCAATAGTTGACGTTATATTCTTTATAGATATTGTGCTCAACTTTCACACCACCTTCGTCGGGCCTGGTGGGGAGGTGGTGTCTGATCCTAAGATCATTCGAATGAATTATTTGAAATCGTGGTTTCTGATAGACCTGTTATCGTGCCTGCCATATGATGTTTTCAACGCGTTTGACCACGATGAAGATGTAAGTAAGTGTGGCTTACAAGGCGAAGTTAAGGATAACGTAAGTGTTGAATCTATGTGATGTATTCGAGCCTGTGGAGTGCAGGTAGCTTGTTGCCCTCCCTCACGCCTGCCTCTTATCCCCGTGGCTGCACCCAGCTCACCTCCATTTCTTCACGTCAAGGTTGTCTTTGTAATTTTACATTTTGTCTGAAGTCTGTGACCCGTGTATAGATTTTTGGCTTGCTAAAATCGCTGTCTTGGGGTTTCTAAAAGCCTCTTTAAGCCCTGTGTGGCAGTGTACTTACTCTCCTTCCTCATCAACACATCCCATGACTTGTTACTTCCTTATCCCACTCTTATAAGATGGTTCTCGTTTATCAACTACTCGAGTCTACAGCAATCACCTCTCCCACCTCCTGGAACTTGACAATCACGTGTAATTGTTGGCCACAATCTTCAGACTGAGTCAGACTGATAGTTTTTACTGCCACTGATACCACTGAACATTAAGTTCCAAACTACACTTGATCCCACGTACTCCACCTAGCCTCCTAAGCCTCCCTTAACCTGTGAATTTCCCTGCAGTGTCTAGGAGACATTGCTTTCCACTATAATTTATTTAGCAGTTTAAAAAGTGCATACATAAATCATTCATCTCTTAGTGAGAGTTTGCTTATTTTTTACGTTCCTATTGTATATAATCATCAAAGGTCACAGAGTACCTTAGGGTTCAGTGTTTGCTCTCTGCCGCTGTCTCTGTTGCTGTCTGTGTCCTTCTGCCTCGGGTGCACGGAGGACCGGGAGGCGCTGCTCCAGGGAGTGTCAACAGAGGTGTACTTCCGTTGGTGCAGGAGCCTCCACGAGCTGACTTGTCCTGAGCCTCTTCCAGGGCACCCCCACAGGTAGGACCGGTAGTGGGACGCCCGTAGCACTTGCAGCACCTGGGTGGGTGAGTGTGTGGGAGCAAGGGTGCCTCCCACATACACCACTACACCTTTCATAGCCACGGGGACACCCAACTCGACCGCTTGTATGCCTCATACTTGCTGTGATACACCCCGTCCTTCAGATGAGGGGCTTAAAATTCCACTGTTATGTTCGCTAAATACAAGCGGTTTTGGTGGGAATTTTTGTTATCTCCTCTGTACATAATTCTCTTTTTGTTCTTGTAAAACTTATCTTCTTTACAGCATCCGTTCGAGGGAGGGATGGGCGCACCCCCAGGCGAGACACCCCAGACGGCCGCCCTCAACGGTGTTCTATATACTCTCCAACACACATTAATACTGTGACTAAGTTAATTCCTTAATGTAAACTACTTCCCTCACACTACTCCCCGTCTACAGCACCACCACAGGCAAACACCCTCAATAGTTCTCTTGTATACTGTATATATACCACCTAGCGGGGACTCCATAAATTGGCTTAATATATTGACTGATGAACAGTGAGCAAGCAGATGGTTATATATAAATGTACAGTTCAGAAGACACTCTGAACTCCAGCATTACCTCTCTCCTACAGTTTGCGAGCATTGTACTAGCCACCTTCAGGTCTCTAGTCTAGTTAACAGGTTTCCTTGATTCCGGAACTAAATGATATTCTACTGTTACTCCGAGAGCACATCAAACCACAAAACTCATTTGTCTTCACTCTGATTTAACACGCTCACACAAGGCTAATGGATCAAGCCCCTAGTGCTCAAAACCTTCCTTAACCCTTTTCTGTGAGTACGTCGACCCTCCTTCTTTTTATCCCAGACTTATACGCCCTCTTATTCATCCTATTCTGCTCTATGCTCTCTGAATGCTTAAACCACCTCAACAAGCCCTCCTAAGCCTCTGAATTATACCTTCGACGTCACCACTGTCTCTCTCCTCCCTCCGTGGATAAACTTCTTCAACAGATGATGCCATAACACTCACTCATTCTTTTCCCTCTCGTCTATTCTACTGTTCATCTCGTCTTTCATAGATTCATCTGCTGATATATCCATTTCCAAATATCTAAGTACATTCACGTCCTCCGTACTGCAGTCTGATTACCAGCCTTTACTTATATCCACTTTAAGAACATAAGAAAGAAGTAACACTGCAACAGGCCTACTGACCCATGCGGAGCAGGTCCATGTCCCCCCCACCCGGATTAGCCCAATGACTCACCTAGCCAGGTCACTTCCACTTAAGGAAGGAGCACGGCATCAGACCTAGTAGCACAAGCTAGTCAGGTCCAACTCATACCCACCCACACCCACTCATGTATTTATCTAACCTATTTTTAAAACTACACAACGTTTTACCCTCTATAACTGTACTCGGGAGTTTGTTCCACTCATTCACAACTCTATTACCAAACCAGTGCTTTCCTATATCCTTCCTGAATCTGAATTTTTCCAACTCGAAACCATTGCTGCGAGTCCTGTCTTGGGTGGAAATTTTCAGCACGCTATTTACATCCCCTTTATTTATTCCTGTTTTCCATTTATACACCTCGATCATATCCCCCCTAATTCTACGCCTTACTTACATTGTCCTCTTTCTATCTTTATTTTTATTTTCCTTCAAACTCTACAAATTCTCCCACCAACTATTACAACTCTCCAAAATCTCACAAAAAGAACTGTGTCATCGGCAAAGGGCAACCGTGACAACTCTCACTTGGTATCCGATTCTTTATCTTTTAATCCTACACCTCTCCCCGATACCCTAAGATTAACTTAATTTTCCTACCCCATCTATAGGTAGGTTCAACAACAACGACAACAATCACTAGAAAACTTCACGTCTCTCTTACATATCTTGAGCCTCATTCTTTGTATAAAAACCTCTTTATTACTCTGAATGACCTGTCACTTATTCCATGCGCTTGCAACATATGCCACATTGCTTCCCTATACACCTTTTAATATCCCCCTTTTATAAATCCATGTATGTGATAGATAATTCCTTACCCTTATCCAAGTACTGTTTACTTATAGGCTTCAGTGTAAACACCTGGTCTACACTTGTCCTACCATTCTTTACTCTTCCTGGTTCCTAGGATATATTACTTTGTCTTATCTGTAACTCTTTTAATAATACATGTTCCGTACCTCTAACCGGTGTTACGAAAAGGATTGTTCCTTTATAATTCTTACTTTCTCTTTTTTCCCCTTTTTCTCTTACAGGAACTATGCATGTTCTCTTCCCATCCTTACGCATCTTCCCTTCTTCCGTGCACATCAACAAATACGTCAGTCACTAATATCTCACTTTCAATCCTTTTCATCACAGTTGTTTTACTCACTTTTATTGTGCCCACTGCGTCATGCACTCCCCTTACACCAGTGGTTCCCAAACTGGAAGTAAATTACCCCCTGGGGGTAATTTAACAATTTTTGGGGGGTAATGGAGGGGTGACAGAAAAAAAGTTATGAATTCTGAAAATCAAGAAAACAATGCGGTACCCGGTATGAGGATTATTGTTAACTTTGTCTTAGTATATAAAGTTGTAAAGTAAACCTATTATAAGTAAGTAATAAAGTTAAACCAAATAACAATAAACATCAAAAACTAATATACAGTATTAGAAAAGAAGAAATATATAGCTAAGTGTGTGGAAACCCAAAAGTATTTTGACAAGTATGCTTCAGGACAAAAGTCACTCAGTAGCCCAGATCGACCTGTCCAGTACGCGTCACTCACTTCCTGAGGCTGCCTCTATTTCACACTGTCAGTTTATCTGTGAGCATCAGCCGAGGTAGACATAAGCTGGTATGTATGTGTACTGCCCTGTGCAGTATATAATTAGTATTTACCCACTGTTACTGTGAATTTGTAGCTATTATTAATTTTATATATAATGTATGTGTGGTTTTTACGTTTTCAATGGTTTTGCTAGGATTAGCAGAGTATGCGAGGCTGTATACGTTCACGTTTAGCCATATATATCAATAATAACAACATTTTGTGAAAGGGGTAACATGCTTTATGTGGCATGTTAAATTGGGTAACAAGCTGAAAAAGTTTGGGAACCACTGCCTTACACCTACATGTGACTCCTCCTCAAACCTACATGTGGATCCTCCTCACACCCACATGTGGTTCCTCCTCACACCCATATGTGGCTCTTCACACCACCACGTGTCATACCTTCGTGTCTCATACACAAAATCACTGCTCCCTCTTTCTTCAACAACATTTAACAACTCTTCAAAATATTCTCTCCATCTTTCCAATATTCCCACTTGCCCATCTGACATGCACACACACACACACACACACACACACACACACATGTATATATATATATATATATATATATATATATATATATATATATATATATATATATATATATATATTATATATATATATATATATATATATATATATATAGTATATATATCCCACATTTAAAAGTACAGGATTTTTTTTAATGTTATCTGAACACTAGAGACTCTCAAGTGTTAATGAATGACCTGGGAGGAGCCCTTATATATGTAAACAAGTCATGCATACCCGAGAAGGAAGCAGTGTACATGTCCACTGGCCCTTACTAGACAGGTCTTACCCAAATCAAACCTTACTCCGACATTTCTCCAACCTAATTTCAAAACTACCCAAGGAAAACACCCATGAACTTGCTCACACATCTACAACTCTATTGTCAAACAAGTATTACCCGCATTTATTATAGCAAAATTAGTAAAATTTATAATAAACGAGCGGTGTAACTTAACGTTCATGGAGGCTTCCAACTTCCTGTTAATCATTTATTGTGTTTAATGACTTGTCAATTATAATATATATATATAATATATATATATATATATATATATATATATATATATATATATATATATATATATATATATATATATATATATATATATATATATATATATATATATATATATATATATATTCAACAGAGGCTCACCATTCTCGTTCATGGTATTGAAATTAGGAACATTGTTGATCATCACCAGTTCTGTAATGTTCTCTGCTGTGTTGTTGTTGTTGTTGCATCCCGTCAATA